CAGTACACCAGCGATCAAACTGAGTAGAAATATCACGAGCAAACTCCAAATGTGACTTGTTGCCCCTTCTCCAACTCCTAAATCGCTGACGATAAGCTTCAGGGACAAGCTCATACGCTTTGAGAACAGCACATTTCACTACCTCATATGTTAAATCACCCTTTGTTTAAGAGGAATACGCTTCCTGGGCTCTTCCAGTTAACACACACTGCAACAATATCATGCAAGTGGAGTCCGACCAACCACGTGTCTCAGCTAGGCGCTCAAAGAGGACAAAAAAAGTTTCAGGATCTTTTTCATTAAATTGAGAAACCAATCTCAGTTCCCTCCAAACATCCACCCTTTCCATGGAGCAGCTGGGACCAGAGAGACCATCAGCAAGTAAAACACCAGCTGCAACTTTTCCCTCTCTAATCAGAGACAGTTTCTGCTTTTCCAGATCAAGCTTTGCACTTTCAGCTTCTTGTCTTATCTTCTCAAGTGACAGTGCTTTTTCTAACTCAATACCATGCTTCATTTTTTCCACCGCAAGTTCTTTCTCCATCTCTAATTTCATCCGCAACAAAAGTAATTTTTTTTTTGCTCAAAAGTTAAACCTACATGAGGAGTCATTGATGGTGGAGAAAAGTCCTCAACACCCTCAGAGACAGGAACAACTTTTTCTGTGTCCAACACATTCATTTTCAATAAACTAAATTTTAAACTTGCCCTTATGGTCTTAATAGTTTTTTTTTTTATCACCAACATCAACCTTGTAGTAATCAGCAATTTTTATTAGTTGATCCTTTGTACACTCATCTATAATATTCTCACACAGTGCCTCCACAAACGCTTTTACAAAGTCATCCATGCCTCAACTTATCAACACACAAGACAGCAAGATGAAGTGTTGAGGCTTAACAGCGTGCACCAAGGCCTAAACAGCCACACCAAAGGAAGGCTCCCTTCTATTTAACTGCTTTGCCACCAGAACTAGCTAACTAACTCACCCTAGTCTTCATGAGGCGTGGCGGTGGGTTTTTATGCACTAATAGCCCGCTGGCTTGAAAAAGGCGACCAGAAAACTGGCAACCCCCCCGTAGCCACGGATGTGCTCCCGAGCAGCTTTAGGGAAGGGGGAAAAAAAAGGATGCTCCAACCACCGTACCTCAACATTACAAGTCACCCCCCCCCAGCGGAACCCAAAGGGGAAACGCTGCTAAACCTAACAAGGGAACCCCCTGTACAATAGCATGCACACATGGCTCAACACTTACCTTGTCACGCTGCTGCGATTCAAACCAACAAAGGACAGCCTAACAGTCGCCTCAGCCACAAACAACAAAAAATAAAGAAATTCACAATGGACGAGCCCCCAATTTGTTACGACTGGCTCTTAGGCCGCAACAAAGGAGGAAACACACAGGTGGATTCA